TGAGGTAAAAGTTACGAAGAGGTGTTCCCGTTGAACTTAGCGCGAGGTCACCTGTAGCTCGGACCCTCCATATTTCCGTGTCTAACCCTCCTCAGCGTCTTCGGGGAGCGAATGAATGGGTCCTATCAGCCCTCGCTACATACTCGCCAAGCAAGCCCGCCTGCGAGCCAGCAATTACCACACAGCTGAGTCACGCGCGACAGGGGTCAACAACACGCGAGGGTCTGTCTATGCGTGCGCTCAGGACTGGACCAGTGGGAACAAGCAAATCAGACAAGGACAGAACCCTTAATTGTGGAGGCACCAACAGAGGGATCGAGAGTTGATGTACAGTCACACTAAGGCCGTTCTCTGTTATCTAGTCTTCCTTCTATTCCGCACAGAACTGACGTCATACTAATTGGGGATATAACTCGTGGCAACACAGGTGAACACGGAAAATGATCAGTGAAGAACAGATGCAGAAGTCGAGCAAGACGGTCAAGTCTCGGAAAACAGTGCAACGCCGTATCTGATGGCGAGGAACGGGTGCAGCAATGTGGACACCGAAGTACCCATTTGTGATCATAGAGGAGGAAACCGTCAGACTTCTGGTTGACACGGCGTCTGATTCTGACTGTTAGCGACGGCCCAGGACATGTCACACCGTTCCTGTCGTCCGGTCGCCATACCTCACAAACACGCAGATCAGTCGCGCCAAGCAAGCCTGCGTGCGAGCCAACGATTAGTACGCCGCCGAGTTACACGCCTACTTCAGGGGTCAACAACATGGGAGTGTCTGCCAGTGCGGACGCTCAGAACTGGACCAGTGGGAGCACGCCAGTAGTGGCCAGATGCCCATCTAACTGTTATTCCTAGAAATCCGATTTGGTTTGTTTTTGGGAATTAAAATGACTAATGCATGCATTTTAGTAGGTTGATTTCTGAATTCGCAGTGTAACATTGGTTCCTTGGTGGACGAAACCTGCGATGTGTCTAGTCACATGAGGGCGGCGGGCACTTATACTACCGATCTCAGTCGACGGCACGCGTTGCTTGATGATCATCAGTCTGGCAGTTCTAACCTCGGATGTACAGCTTGGGATACGGGTATACCTGCTTCGTGACGGCAAATGAGCCAGACCTTGTCAGTAAGCACTGCTTAATGGCATGTAGCTCGGGCCATCCATGTCGACCCTCCTCAGTCTCTTCAGGTGGCGAATGAATGAGTCTTATTAGCCGTCAGACTTCAAGTTGACACGGCGTCTGATCCTGACTGTTAGCGAGGGCCCAGAGAATGCCCCACCGTTCCTGTCGTCAGGCCTCCATACCTGACAAAGAACCGAAAACTCGCAGATCAGTCTCGCCAAGCATGCGTGCGTGCGAGCCAGCGATTAGTACGCCACCGAGTTACGCACCAAATTCAGGGATCAACAACACGGGAGGGTCTGCCAGTGCGGACGCTCAGAACTGGACCAGTGGAAACACGTCAGTAGTGGCCAGATGCCCATCTAACTGTAATTCCTAGAAATCGGAATTATTTTGTTTTGGGTGGTCAAACAGACTGATGCATGTATTTTGGTAGGTTGATTTCTGAAGTTGCAGTGTAGCATTGGTTCCGTAGGTGGACAAAACCTGCAATGTGTCCTCCAGTCACGTGAGGGCGACGGGAACTAATGCTAGCGATCTCAGTCGACAGGACGCGAACCGATCAGTGAGGGAATGCAACCGTTGCTTAAGGCTCATCCGACTGGGAGCTCTAATCTTGAGTGTAGAGCTT